TGTCTCAGACGCCATGAGTTGATAAGTCTTGTTTAGGCACAACTGTCAAAGACGATGGGTGTTGATAAGTCTTGTTAAGACACATCTGTCCCAGACGCTGGAAGTTAAAAAAATCTTGTTTAGACACAACTGCCCCGGACGCTAGGAGTTTTTTTAGTCTTGTTTAGACACAAGTGTCCCAGATGCTGGGAGTTGATACGCCTTGTTTTGAAAATAATGTTCTCAGACGCTGGAAGTTGACAAATATTATTCAGACACAGAATCCATCATAAAGAGACACGATTGTCGTGGTAAGGATGCCATTATATACACATAGTGTTAAGGATGACATTATACACACATACAATGACTGCACAACCTTTGGCTTAGTAAGGACAGTATATACACATACAGAAACTGCACATATATATTGATTGTCGTGGTAAGGTTGGCATTATATACACATTTCCATGGTAGGGATGCCGTCATACACACATACAGATACTTCGTGGACACGATCGTTGTGATAAATTTGACATTATATCTTGCATAGCAATTACATGTACACGTGTATCACTATCATGGTAAGGCTGACGTCAGACACACGTAATATATTATAGTGACGTGCACGAGGACGCAAATATAATTCATATATCACTTGAGTTTTACCTACCTACAAACCTCATTCTATATTTACACGCCTACGAAAATATGATGCTGTGTTGATTCATCCCTGCTACGTATTATAGATAAAAGGTTATTTACATCCGATTGGAATGCCTACTTCTAGAATTCTTTTAGAACGAACGTAAACACTCGAAACAGCTTGGCTGTCTAAGTCTACTGAATTAATTATGAGTGTGTGGGCTTTTATTGTCAATCTGCAGAGAAATTGGATATTGCGTTCCTAAACAACACTTCCAAGGACATGTGTTAGCAGAGTTACCAACAGACGTACTACACAATCCAGGATCCTGTGCGTCAACACAAGGTCTACTGAACTTTAAACTAATTTAATCGATTTTTCTTTTACTGTGTGAAAATCAGCACTCTCGTTTAAAAAGAGAGTGTTCCAAGGACGATTGTAGAACAACAACGTTATAAAATGACAGTGTTTGTCTGGAGTGAGGTGGTGAAAGTGACGTGGTACGAGTACTGCAGCACCACTATAGGCAGGTGCGCGTCGTCGAGATGTCACGTGACACATTACGCTAACGTCTGGCACTATACCGTTATTATTTTACGTGGCCTGATGTGTCACGTTAAATAATGCTTATTTATCTTTCCTGTCAAACATGCTCAGCTCTAACTTGTTTGTTGGTACGTAAGATTTTTGATTCTAGGAACAGAAACTACCGGAAATCAAGACGTTTTTTCACACTTGCGCAGACGTGTTATGTCTAATCCAATCTGCGTAACTCATTTCATCACATCAGGAGAGGTAATTAAATCTAACGAATTCACACCATGAGACAAAATGAAATATGGACGGAAGGAAAGTTTTTCTCATACATGTACCTCAACATAACATCAAATGCTACAGACACCTCATATATCAGTAAATGTCCGTCTACACACCAAACAATATAGTGAATTTACTCATTTTACCAGTACGTATATGTATCTTTATCATACAATTTGATTACCCGTTACACTAGTCTTAACATTCATAACATGTACGTTAAATCTAGATCCTCCTGCTTCCACTTGAACTTCTCTTTCTTCACTGTTTATTTTTTTTTAAATGGAGATTAAAACGCTTGCTTGTAAATATATATTACCACGTGACAATAAAGGACTAAATAAGGCGGTATAATTTTTTTGAAAATGTTTATGCAATAAAATTTGTTAAAACAAACATCTAAACATTATGCAATGCATTTCCTTTTTATACAAGTATAGTCTCTTACATCAGTTTCCATCGCTAAGAGATTTATGAACTTCGTGACGAGTTTCATAAATCTCATATGACATGGAAACGAATGCAATACCATTTTTATCATATAACTGTTATACTGACAAACTTTTGATGACATGACCAAATCACTACTATCAAAATGTAGGTCAGATCTATCTGCGCTCTAACAAATAGTCACAAATATTTGTTTTTTTAAATCACTCAAACAACATGGATAAATATCAATATTAAATCCATTTGTTCAATGCGCTTTGTACAAATATAGAGCTTTAGCTGAAATTTGGAGAATTCATTTAACAAAAACAGAGCAACAAGTTCACACGGTTCACGCTACGTCACTGCGCGCGACATTCCAAGTGTCACTTTACGCGGATTTCTGAGGTGTCACTGTTCTATTCGATGATCCTACATCGTTTCACTATTTTGGGAAGGGATGTTGATAAATGCTAATGCTGAAATGTCTACCGTAAATGTTTCCTACAAACACAGAATGCACATTTCCATGGAAATTGGATGTAAGCTTGCTTAGTCTCCGACCTACTCTCGGAACTCCACGTAACTCGACGCACATTGGCATTGTTGTTTTGTAAGTTTTTTGCCATCTGTGTACCGTTTTTCAGAACGTTTTGTAAACTCTCCGAGTTGGATGGATTAGATTATAGGTCCGACTAGATAATAGTCAGGATTTTTTTAGAATCAGAAAATTTACGAGACGTAGTGCGGAGTTATTTACTATCGTGTGAAAGTGTGATGCGGTCAACCAATAAAAATCGCTCCAGGTCATATAAGTTGAGTTAATATTCACTGCATAACAGGGGAATTATATGATAAAATGCTTTTTTGATTTTTTTGACACCGTAAGATTTATCATTTCTTTTAAAATAAAGTTTTAAATGGTGGTTTTGATTTGGAGAATTCTATAACAAAACAGAGCAACAAGTTCACACGGTTCACGCTACGTCACAGCGCGCGACATTCCAACGCGTCACACTACACGGAAATATGAGGTGTCAACAGCTTAAACTTCCCGAGTTGGATGGATTAGATAATAGTTTGTTTCTGAGTGCTGTCATCCGTCATTTAGAACCAACTGGAGATTTCGCTCCCGCCATGTTTACTACGAGACGTAGTGTGGAGTTATATACTACATGTATTGTGAAAAGTGTGATGCGGTCAACCAATCGAAATCGCTTCAGGTCATACCAGATGAGTTAATATGCAGAAATATGATATGGGTGTATTCAATGCATAACAGGGGAGTTATATGATAAATATAAATATGAAACTTTTAACCTATATACCAGACCATGTCTATGTAGACATAAGAAAATACCAGACCATGTCTATGTAGACATAATAAAATATCTAACATTAACTTTTATACCAGACCACGCCTATGTAAAAATCGTAACATATATAACATTTAAGCTTTATACCAAACCACGTCTATATAAACATTATAAACTGTATGTACCATTCGACTGATATACCGGACCATAACTTAACACAAGTGCATATTTAAACATTAGATTGTTTATACATTATAACATATATATTTTATACCTATATCGCCCAAATAATACCTATACTACCTCCGTTACATTGTATACCTATATCGCCCGGATAATACCTATAATACCTCCGTTACATTGTATACCTATATCGCCCGGATAATACCTATAATACCTCCGTTACATTGTATACCTATATCGCCCGGATAATACCTATAATACCTCCGTTACATTGTATACCTATATCGCCCGGATAATACCTATAATACCTCCGTTACATTGTATACCTATATCGCCCGGATAATACCTATAATACCTCCGTTACATTGTATACCTATATCGCCCGGATAATACCTATAATACCTCCGTTACATTGTATACCTATATCGCCCGGATAATACCTATAATACCTCCGTTACATTGTATACCTATATCGCCCGGATAATACCTATAATACCTCCGTTACATTGTATACCTATATCGCCCGGATAATACCTATAATACCTCCGTTACATTGTATACCTATATCGCCCGGATAATACCTATAATACCTCCGTTACATTGTATACCTATATCGCCCGGATAATACCTATAATACCTCCGTTACATTGTATACCTATATCGCCCGGATAATACCTATAATACCTCCGTTACATTGTATACCTATATCGCCCGGATAATACCTATAATACCTCCGTTACATTGTATACCTATATCGCCCGGATAATACCTATAATACCTCCGTTACATTGTATACCTATATCGCCCGGATAATACCTATAATACCTCCGTTACATTGTATACCTATATCGCCCGGATAATACCTATAATACCTCCGTTACATTGTATACCTATATCGCCCGGATAATACCTATAATACCTCCGTTACATTGTATACCTATATCGCCCGGATAATACCTATAATACCTCCGTTACATTGTATACCTATATCGCCCGGATAATACCTATAATACCTCCGTTACATTGTATACCTATATCGCCCGGATAATACCTATAATACCTCCGTTACATTGTATACCTATATCGCCCGGATAATACCTATAATACCTCCGTTACATTGTATACCTATATCGCCCGGATAATACCTATAATGCCTCCGTTACATTTCATACGATCACCATTGAACCACTACATATTTATGTATGTTAGATTTTATTTGTTTCTGAAAGTGAAAACCTGAATAATATTAAGATACATATAAATATTACATATGGTAAGCTTCAACGAACTTTACGTGCTGAATTTTTCAAAAGGTCTGTTTAAATAAATGTTTGATGGAGATCTTAAGAAAGTCGCTTACCTTGGTCAAATATACAGCCACAACAGAGAACGGTCAAATTCAAAATAGAGCTGATTATCCAGCTGGCCGTCATTGGATAAAATACCCGTCCAATCACAGGTCGGTGTAACCATGCCGGTATTCGAATATAATTTTTATCGATAAGTACCACTATCGTAATGGTTAGAGAAATAGAATAGTTATTAGATGTTGATAAGTAATTAGTAAGTATAGATAAAGTTTGGATACGTTTCTATTAGCTTATCTTTATAGCCCAAGGCAAACAAACCGCATATCACTACCTTGTAAAATGTGTAACCCAGGGCAGATAACCAACATATTATATCAGAACTCGGTCTCAGATTGTCAAAAGGTATGTCAAATACACTGACAAAATGATTAAGTCCTTTTCAAATTTAATATTATTAAGGAAATTGGTCAAAAATCTTAATTTTCTCTCTTGACATGTAACCTTTCTATGAATATCATTTTGGCTGTCAATTGTTAGTTGCTATGAGTGTGGGAGTTGTGTGTCAGTGAGTTACAGTTTTCTTGTGTCTCAAGAACTGCTATGGAGACTGATGTGTTATGCTGTCCCTATCAGCTCCCATTTAGATTGATGTTTTGAGCTGTCCCTATCAGCTCCTATTTAGATTGATGTTTTGAGCTGTCCCTATCAGCTCCTATTAAGATTGATGTTTTGAGCTGTCCCTATCAGTAACTCTAGAGACTTAATGTTTTGAGCTGTCCTTATCAGTTGCTATAGAGACTTTTTTTTTTATGCTGTCCCTATCAGTTGCTCAAGAGACTAATGTTTTATGCTGTCCCTATCAGTTGCTATAGAGACTTTTGTTTTATGCTGTCCCTATCAGCTGCTCTAGAGACTAATGTTTTATGCTGTCCCTATCAGCTGCTATAGAGACTGATGTGTTATGCATTCCCTGTCAACTGCTATAGCGATTGATGTTTTATGCTGTCCCTATCAGCTGCTATATATATATAGAGACTACTGTTTTATGCTGTCCCTATCAGCTGCTATAGAAATTGATATTTTATGCTGTCCCTATCAGCTGCTGTAGAGACTGATGTGTTATGCTGTCCCTATCAGCTGCTATAGAGACTGATGTTTTATGCTGTCCCTATCAGCCGCTATAGATACTGATGTTTTATACTGTCCCTATCAACTGGCATAGAGAATGATATTTATGCTGTCCCTATCAGCTGCTATATATACTGATGTTTTATGCTGTTCCTATTAGCTGTTATTGCTATTGATGTTTTGTGCTGTCCCCATCAACTGCTATAGAGACTAATGTTGTATACTGTCCCCAGCAACTGCTATAGAGACTAATGTTTTATGCTGTCTCCAGCAACTGTTTTAGAGACTAATGTTTTATGCTGTTCCTATCAACTGCTATAGAGACTAATGTTGTATGCTGTCCCCAGCAACTGCTATAGAGACTAATGTTTAATGCTGTTCTTATAAACTGCTATTGAGATTGATGTTTTATGCTGTCCCTATCAGCTGCTATTGATATTGATGATTTATGCTGTCCCTATCAGTTTCTTTTGAGATTGAGATTTTGTTCTTCCTCTATCAGCTGGCTCTGGTGATCTATAAGCTGAAATAAGGCATTTTCCTGAAATAAATAAACAGCGCGATTTATGTCCGGTGTTATAATACGTAGAGATATTGTATCGGCTGGGGTGAAATACTAACAGACATTGGATGATGTATCATATAACACCCTTGGACTTGGTCGTGAAGTAGGAGCTATATTGATATCTTTTGTCTAGTGACGTATCATCAGGTTCTTCCACCGTAGCTGCTTACATTTCCCAAGTTATTTTCTCCTTAATTTGCATACACCAGTTCACTACAGTCTCGTGGCTCGTGTTAATTCTGAGATCATTCCGAGCGAAACGTGACGTAGTTGATATAACCACACAATTATCAGTCTCCATGTTTAATTTTAACAGAAAATAGTTTTAGCAGTCAAAATTATCTATCTGCCAAGATTCGTTGAAAATTTCCCGTTTTTCCTGGCATTCTATATGTATTTCGGAACACTTTTTACGTGGGTTTTACCGTTGACCATAGTTACCGGCGATGTGTCATAACTGGACAGAAGTGACATACTGTACAGTAAACTGGCTATCTGCGTTTACGTGCACAAACAATAGTCAAATAATTGCTTCATTTCTTCGTATTTCAAGTCAGAATATTCTACGTGTGATGGGGTCAAACTTAATATGGTAAAGTCCCTTCACAATGAACTCGATGGTTTATAGCGATCTCATTCATAATCTAATTTTCAGACAAAAACAACACATGCTCGGATAAAGTGCCAACGTAATACAAGGAAAGTTTAGCTTCCTAACATTTTTCTTGTAAAAATAAAAAAAGAAAAGACCCGAAAAAGAAAATATTTAAAATTGGTTATCGGGGTAATTAGTAAGGCTTTGAAGCCTCGGGAATGCACACTCCCCGACACCCACCATTATGCTCACGATAACCTTCCGTAGTACGCTTGTGCAGCAACTGTTACAATCCCAACGCTCCGACAGTTTCTTGTAAGGTCATTGAATCACTTTATCAGCGAATTGTTTTAGAAAAAGAAGATAGAAAAAAGCTCAGAATGTTCGATAGCATTAACTTGGGTATGTTGTAACAGATGATACTTGATAAACGACGAAGAAAGCAACATTGCCACTGAGTTAAAAGGCTGGTGTTTATGAATGAAAGGAAGCACCAGAGCATCTACTACACACGCAGTATTACGTTCAAGTCCTATGTTGTTGACAAAAATAAAAGCAGAATGTCCTAACAGTAAAAGGATGAACACGAAGATATCGTTTTGAATTTATAAGAAATGTTATCTGGAAATTTTATCCATGTAGCTTCTGATTAAAAATGGCGTGCCTGTCGTCTGCCATTATATTGGTACAAGCAAACAGGAAATTGTGTCTATTTCTGTACAAGTACGTAACAACACTGTTCGGAGAGTGTTGGTGGGAGTGTGTCCGAAAGTTCGGCAGGTGTAATATTCACGAAATTCTAAACCAAGGAAACAAAATCTGCCACGTTCATTTGTTAATTAAACATCAGTGAAATAAGATGACATTTACTCAATGTGATTATTGGGGATAATTTGATACACGAGTCGTGTGTTCACACTCAATACTTATATTAATTTCATATAGAATAAAGATAAATGAATAAAAAAAATATTCGAAAAGTAACGAAGATAAAGCGAAGTTCTGAGCAGCCATGTTTGTGGGTATGATGGACAAGTGTGTCGGTAAGATGGACTACTTTGTGGGTATGATGGTCAAGTGTGTTGGTAAGATGAACTTCTTTGTGGGTATGATGAACTAGTGTGTCGGTAAGATAGACTACTTTGTGGGTATGATGGACTAGTGTGTTGGTAAGATGAACTTCTTTCTGGGTATGATGAACTAGTGTGTCGGTAAGATGGACTACTTTGTGGGTATGATGGACTATTGTGTTGGTAAGACGGACTACTTTGTGGGTATGATGGACTAGTTTTGCGGTAAGATGGACTACTTTGTGGGTATGATGGACAAGTGTGTTGGTAAGATGGACTACTTTGTGGGTATGATGGACTAGTGTGTTGGTAAGATAGACTACTTTGTGGATATGATGTAGTACTTTGTGGGTATGATGAACCAGTGTGTCGGTAAGATGGACTACTTTGTGGGTATGATGGACTAGTGTGTTGGTGAGATAGACTACTTTGTGGATATGATGGACAAGGTGTTGGTAAGATGAACTTCTTTGTGGGTATGATGAACTAGTGTGTCGGTAAGATGGACTACTTTGTGGGTATGATGGACTATTGTGTTGGTAAGACGGACTACTTTGTGGGTATGATGGACTAGTTTTGCGGTAAGATGGACTACTTTGTGGGTATGATGGACTAGTGTGTTGGTAAGATGGACTACTTTGTGGGTATGATGGACTATTGTGTTGGTAAGATGGACTACTTTGTGGGTATGATGGACTAGTTTTGCGGTAAGATGGACTACTTTGTGGGTATGATGGACTAGTGAGTTGGTAAGATAGACTACTTTGTGGGTATGATGGACAAGGTGTTGGTAAGATGAACTTCTTTGAGGGTATGATGAACTAGTGTGTCGGTCAGATGGACTACTTTGTGGGTTTGATGGACTATTGTGTTGGTAAGACGGACTACTTTGTGGGTATGATGGACAAGGTGTTGGTAAGATGAACTTCTTTGAGGGTATGATTAACTAGTGTGTCGGTCAGATGGACTACTTTGTGGGTATGATGGACTAGTGTGTTGGTAAGATAAACTACTTTGTAGGTATGATGGACTACCTTGTGGGTATGATGGAGTACTTTGTGGGTATGACCCTCTATTTTGTTGGTATGATGTACTACTTTGTGGGTATGATGGGCTACTTTGTGGGTATGATTGACTACCTTGTGGGTATGATGGAGAACTTTGTGTGTATGACCCTCTACTTTGTTGGTATGATGGACCACTTTGTTGGTATGATGGACTACTTTGTGGGTATGATTGAGTTCTTTGTTGGTCTGATTGACTACTTTGTGGGTATGATGAACTACTTTGTGGGTATGATGGAGTACTTTGTGGGTATGATGGAGTACTTTGTGGGTATGATGGACTACTTTGTGGGTATGACGGTCTACTTTGAGGGTATGATGGACTAGTTTGTGGGTATGGTGGACTACTCTGTGGGTATGGTGGACTACCTTGTCGGTATGATTGACTACTCTGTGGGTATGGTGGACTTCTCTGTGGGTATGGTGGACTACTTTGTGGGTATGGTGGACTACTTTGTGGGTATGGTGGACTACTTTGTGGGTATGGTGGACTACTTTGTTGGGATGATGGACTACTCTGTGGGTATGGTGGACTACTTTGTGGGTATGGTGGACTACTTTGTGGGTATGGTGGACTACTCTGTGGGTATGATAGAGTACTTTGTTGGTATGATGGAGTTCTTTGTTGGTCTGATGGACTACTTTGTGGGTATGA